TTTGTCCAATCTGTATGCGATGATTTTTTAAATAATATCCAAATGGAGTCTCTTTCTGTCAGCGACTCTGAAAATCTGAATGCCCCCATCACACACCACGAAATTGAGAAAGCAGTAATGGACATGCGTAAGGGCAGGTCGCCAGGCCCAGATGGTATTCCACCCAAATTCTATCTCACCTTTTGGCCCTTGCTCGGCCCCTTGCTTGTAGAGATGATATTATTTTCTATTAAGGAGGGTTCATTTTTGAGAGACGTCAACACTGCCCTGTTATCCTTGCTTCTTAAAAAAGGCAAGGATCCGACAGAGTGTACTAGTTACAGGCCCCTCTCACTCTTAAACACTGACGTAAAGATCTATGCCAAAGTGCTGGCTAGGCGCCTTCAGTCTCACATGACGGATCTAGTACATAGCGATCAGACAGGCTTTATAAAATCCAGGCTAGCCGCTGACAATGTAAGGAGGCTATTACACATCATAGATGGGGCCCAACATCTACCTTCCCCAGCTGCAGTTCTCTCACTTGATGCGATGAAGGCCTTTGACCGTCTAGAATGGCCCTTTTTGTGGTCGGTACTCGGGGCAATGGGCTTTGGCGCCCCTTTTATTGACATGGTCAAGGTGCTATATAAAAACCCAACAGCTATGGTGCTTACAGGCAAGGTATGCTCCCCATCTTTTGCTATCTCGAGAGGATCAAGGCAAGGCTGTCCGCTAAGCCCCTTGCTATTTGCGCTGTCACTTGAGCCGCTGGCAAAGACCATTCGTCAGTCACCCACGTTATCCCCAATCTCCATTAATGGTACGCATCATCATCTTTCGTTATATGCTGATGATGTGCTATTGTATTTGGGCAATGCTGTACAATGTATCCCAAGAATACTGTCTATTGTCGATCGATATGGTCAGCTTTCTGGGTTCAAGATAAATTGGCAGAAATCTGCTTTGATGCCACTTAACCAGGCAATGATCAATGCACCTGTCCCTCCATCTATCCCAGTTGTCAAAACTTTTACATACCTGGGGATAGACGTTTTTCCTTCAATTCAGACAATAGTTAAACATAACTATGGTAACACGCTTCATAAAATAATTTCTGATTTGGATAGATGGTCTTCTCTGCCTAATTCACTTCGCAGCCGTGTATCAATAATCAAGATGAACATTCTACCCAGAGTTAATTTTTTTAGTTCAATGCTACCTCTTCCTCCACCAACTCAGTACTGGAGCAAGCTACAGACAGCTGTGACGAAATTTTTATGGCAAGGCAAACGCCCTCGCATCAAGCTCTCTACAATGCAGCGGGACAGACAGGCCGGGGGTTTGTCTCTCCCAAATTTTAAACACTATTATTGGGCCTTCACGCTTAGACCCTTATTAACCTGGCTCCAGTCTGAGGAATCAGTGTCATGGCGGGCCCTGGAAGAGAGTCTAGTGCATCCTTACACCCTTCAAGATCTCTTGTATTCGAACATTCCTATTGCGCAGTGTCGTTGCAGGTTCGGCCCCATTGTATCACAATTGTTGTCTGTCTGGAGGGCGGTAGAGAAACTATGTGGCTGCCCCTATGCATGGAATCCATGTTCCCCATTATTTAACAATGCCAGATTGTTGATTGGTGGCCATCCCATTCAGTTTCCTCAGTGGAAAGTGAGAGGGGTTCATATACTGGGGAACGTCTATGGAGATGAAGGTCTGCGTTCGTTTCGGGAGCTGTGTACAGAATTTGATTTACCTCGTTCCTCCTTTTTCTTTTATTTACAGTTGAGGTCGGCTTTAAGGGCTAGCGGTATTCCATTGCAAAGTCCTCTATCACCACACCCGCTTCATAACATTCTACACTCCACTAGAGGTACAAGTGGCCTTGTTTCCAAACTTTACTGGTTCATTTCACAACACGCTTATAGACCTCTGGCGTTAGATGTGATATGGAGGGCCGATATCCCAGATCTGGATCCAGAGTTTGATTGGGATGAAGTCTGGTCCAATATACTAATAGCTTCTAGGAATCCTGACCACCAGCACATACATTATAATTGTACTGTAGAGTTTACCTTACGCCTAGGAAGCTTTGTTTAATGAAAATAATTGCTGATCCAAATTGCACTCTATGTGACGTAAAGGCTATTGGTACTTATTTACATATGTTCTGGGAATTTCCGCCAGTGGCCAGATTCTGGGAGATGGTTGCCTCTAACCTTTCGGTGATATTTGAGACTAACGTGCCTCATTCACCTGTCACACTTATCTTAAACGACCTGTCCAACCTGGGTTTAACCCTGACCAAAAGGCGAGCACTATTAGCCGGGCTTACAGCAGCAAAAACATTGGTTGCGACTCGGTGGAAGCCTCCCCATTCCCTCTCACGTAAGGTCTGGGTTCTAACATATCTAGACATATCGTATCTAGAAATATCGACAGCCCGGGTACATGGGGCAAAGGAGTCAACAATAGAGATGTGGACTTCGCTCATTGTGAACCTCAAGGGCATATTAGGATAACTATCTAATGGGGATGGTGATCTGGATGGGTGGGTGGGGAGGGACGTCACGTCACTGGGTTTTGTTTCTTTCTGTAGTTTGGTGCTGTTTTTGTAATGTATTGCATTTTATGTTATTGATTGTACCATTTCTTTTATAAATAAAATAAATTTGATCACAAAAAAAAAAGAAAGATATTGGTTTAAATAAATGAAGTATTGACTTTAATACACTGATATACATTCCATTAAACAATACTAAATACTAGATCACCTACACATCAGTGAAGTTGAGCTTTTTTTCCATGCAAAAGGTTACATTTAGATGTTAACAAGCAATATGACTTGTCAGCTTTCTAATTTAATGTATTGAAGGCAAAGATATTTAACACATAGTGAGAACTGCTACTATTTATCTCTCAATATTGTCTGTAAAAACGAGGTAAAAGTTATTATTTCAGTGAGACAACAGAGCAAGCTTCTACAGTTGCACTACGTTTTGATAACAGTTCAATATTATTTTGATAGGAACGAGAAACCCTCCCAAAAGCCCCTTTAAAGTGAATCTGTACAAAAACCATTTTTCTTAAAATCTTTAAATATGCACTATTTTATTGTATTAAGTATGTTCTCTGGTAACAGATAAGGGGAGAAAATAGCTTGTTTTTAAAAATGCTTCACTCTCTTTTCCTACTTACTATGTTTTCATATCAAAGGGAAAATACTGTCCGCCTTATTCACTCTAAATATCTGGTAGTTGTGTTAATGTTCCTGAAACTCATCTTTTGGTGCTCTGGGGCTTAGTTTATTTGCAGACAAACATGAAATATCACTACATTTTCACTCCATGTCTTCACTTTTTGTCCTTTAAATATATTTTCTCCTTCCCTCTTTCATTTCTCCATGCTTTCACTACTTCCATTTTCACTTCCCTTTCTAACTCTAATCTGAAAACATGACAATCCACCAAAAAATAGATATTTGCACCACAAAAAAAGCAGGACTATTTTTCACAGTAAGATATTTGAATGCAAATCTATTAATTTGAACATTTGTTTAACTTTTCTTTCCTTTCGATTGCATAATTTAATAATGATTAGATTGTCTAAATGTGTTTGCTTCTTGGAAAGTGTATCGTGCAAAAAATATGCTTTGTTTTACAGTAAAGTAAACTCTCATTGCACACAGTAGCGTGGCGTGGGGAAACATTTAGGGGAAGCCCATTTTTTTGGGTTGGGGGGGGGGGGGTGGTCAATAACGTAACCAGATGAGTGATTACAGCGCCCGGTATCATTTTACACACATTTGTATCACACAGATGCAGGACTTGCACACGCCTGTTATCTAACCGACAGGTCCGCACGCCCTCTCCAGCCGAAACTCTCTCGTCTTATCAATTTAAGCATTTTCTTATTAATTTATGCAGACACACACAGGTTGGCAGGGGCATCACGTGGGCCTCATCTGATTGGTCAATCAATGACATTTTTTTCACCAAGGGAAGCCCGATTCAGCTGTAAAATACTCAATGAGAGTGGGGGAGAGACGGGCCGGCAGCAACACACAGCAAAGGAGAATTATCGAAACAAAACAAAGTGTTTTTATTTATTTATTTAAATTATAACTACAATCCGAAAAAACAGGGGAAGCCTGGCTTCCCTTGGCCTCCGGGAGAAAACGCCACTGATTGCACAAGCTCCCTCTGCTGCAGCACTTTCAGAAGCACACAGTTCACTAACTCAACCTATACTCACATTATTCACACATGAGAGAGTGTTTGTGTTTGTGTCTTCAGAGATCTGCTTCTCAGTGTGAGAGGACAGTAGTGACCTCCACATGTTGGGAGGATCTCTGCTGCTTCCTACTGGTGAGAAAATAAAAGTGTTTGAAACTAAAGACAGCTGAACAAGAACACCTTTAAAAGAGTTTATTTTCACCTGAGAACGTTTTTTATTTCCAACAGAAAACTCCAAACAAAGCAAAACACATTTCACTTAAAAGGTGTTACAAGGAAATACATCTGTAGTCTGGTAAGGCTATTAGGTAACTTCATTTGGTATAATACAACACAATCAAATATACTAAAATAAATGCAATATTCCATTAAATGATATAACTAAACAACGGTTAATAAAACCAAGCAGAATTCATTTAAAAACAAACATTTTGCCCATGCTCTAATTATTCAGAATACAGTTCATCTCCAACATGTCTGAACCTTTTTCACAATCCACCTCTAGAGGGACTCACATGTTTTCATAAAGCTGCTGCTGTACTCTCACTTTGATGCATTTAAGCCAAAAAAGCAAAAACAAGGTTAATATAAATCTGATTAAACTCTGCTAGCTGTGCCCTTAAACTCTAAATCTTTGATCCAAGCGATCATGCTATTGTTTTAAACATTACATCGGTTTCTTTCTTGGTTTGTTGACGGTGGCGTAGAGGAGGCTGGGATCAGCGGAGGCAGCAGAGGAAGAGGAGGGAGCTCCCACAGTGCTGTAGGTCACTGTATCATCTTCATCATCATCATGAGGGCTGTAAAATATGAGGAGGTGATGTTTGACAGCAGTGGACTCTGAGGGGAGTTGATGTTGTTGATCAGTCACACAGAGGCAGACGGCTCTCCATCGTTTTCATAGTTCACCTCATCTTCATCTTCATCTTCATCAATCTGCTCCTGTCAGCATGGAACAGAGACATGGTAAAAACACAGATCAGAGCTGGAAAGTAACTAAGTACATTTACTCAGGTTCTGCACTTAAGTATATATTTTTGAAGGACTTTACTTGAGTATTTCCACTCGTCACGATCTGTCAGTTTTTTCCTGTTTTATTTTTATTTTCCACAATATATTTCTAGACCGACTGGAAAACTGGGTGGGACTTTCAGCAACAGTTCTACATTGTTTTGAACCCTACTTGAAGGACAGGTCTGAGTGGACAGATATGACATGTGGTGTTCCTCAGGGCTCTGTCTTGGGGCCTCTTCTCTTTCACATCTACAGGCTACCACTGGCTGCATTTCATTTAATTAAAAGCATTATAAAGAGCTGTTGATTCAACTACATGGTCACTTTGAAGCATCCTTAATGAGCATTTATTTCATTTTGTTGCTGTTTTCTGTTATTTTGGTTAATGAACTGTTTAGCTTTTCTGAGATCATTTAATTTGGATACATAAATATTCTAAATTAATCTTGTGTTGCATCTTCTTCTGCCTGTCATATATCCATTGTTAAAATTGGATAGCAAATAATACACACATTTAATTATGCAATGTTCAAACTCACCATGTTTTCTTCCGTCTGTGCTTTGCTCCCTGAAAAAAGGACAAAACAAGTTGATATTAGATTTCAGCTTTATTTATATATTTTTTATTTCATCTGTGAAAATCTCTCACCTTTAGCTCTTGTCCACATGTTGACTGTAACCACGGTGATGATGAGAGCTGCTAAACCCACAGACACGATGATGAGCCTCAAGTGACCTGGAAAAGAGAAGTTAGAAGAGTTGGTACCACTTTACAATAAGACTACCCTTATAAAGGATTCATAAAGGGTTTATAATTAGGTTATGAATTAGGTTGTAAACACTTTATTAATCATTAAGAGCCATTTATAAACCAGTTCTAACATAGTGTTCAAACATCAACACAGGCTCACTATTTGGCAAGATGACTAAGCCTTATATTGGCTACTTAGCTAGAATCAACTCAGTGAGCAACAGATACCAAGGATGCTGGCTGATGAAGGAGACGAAGTAAGCTAGGTAGCCAATATAAGGCTTAGCAGTACAGATACATGTGGGCTCACTATTTGGCAAGCAACCGGTCACAGTTGCCCTGTTTATCTCATGTCTTATAAAAGCTTATTAATGATTTATAAAGTGTTCACAACCTAATAAATGAATTACAAACTATTCGTAAACCCTTTATAAGGGTAGTCTTATTGTAAAGTGGTACAGAAGAGTTCAATATAGTCAGAGGTTTTTATCTCTTTATCTCTCAAATCTGAATGAACCAAATGTCTCTTGGCTGTTTAATGCTTCCTCGTCACCTTCACACAGGGACACGTACAGAACATACAGATACAAACACAACTTATTTATAATCCAGACAGTTCTTTTTTATCTACATAAAATGTTACCTTTATAAACGATGTTGTATCTGAGTCCACTCCTTCTCCTCTTCAGTACATCCAGGTGTGTATATACTGCATGTGTGCATGTCTTTTCTAACTGTGAATGTATATGTTCTGTTCTCTCACTACCTTTATTGTTGTCCTCTTGTTCTGTTTGATTGTCTTCAGATGTGTTGGTCGTCTCTCCGGCTGGTCTCATGTTCACTGTTGTCCATGTTGGTGACACTGCAGTCACCTTCCCTGCATCATCACCTTAATGAATAAAATAACAACATGCTGGACAGTTATAAAAACAAATGTAATCATCTCACATCACGACATAAAGATGTGACGCATCAGGATGAACAGCTCATCATGTTCTCACCTGAGGACTGAAGAGAAACAGCTGAGGTTCTGTCCTGTAGCTATCAAACACTTTACAAGTCAATCAAGTTAACCTTACCTGAGTTCATGTTATTTTTAGCTGTTGTTGTTGTTGTTGTTTTTGTTGTTGCTGGTGTTGTTGTTGCTGTTTTTTTGTCCTCACCTAAACAGATGAACAAAACTTAACAAACTATTCAATTTTAAAATTCCATAAAATAAACAAGATGGAGATATTATGAGAGAAAAGACAACCACAATATGTAACAACATTTAAATGTACTTCATCACTGTAATCATCATCATTATTGGAATGTTTCAGTTTAGAGACAGTTTGAAAACATGATGATGTAAATACTCACTGGTAACAACAGACAGAAAAACCCAAGAGTATAAACGTTGTTGTTGTTCTGATCTGAACTGTCTGCAAAGGTAACTACCAGCATCCTCCTCTGTGACCTTCTTTATAACCAGAGAACATTTCTCTGTAACTCTCAGTCTGTCTGATTTAGCTTTGGCTTCTTTGTGAATCTGCCCGTATTCAAACAGCGTCACTGAGCTTCTTGAATCCCTGAAGTACCAGGTAGTATACTCACACGTATCCTGATCATCTATCACATTGTCAAAAGGCAAAGTGACTTCATCTCCAGCTCTGACAATGCGGGAGTAAGGTTTCACATCTGCAGCTGTTCGGGGAAAAAGCAGAAAGAAATATAGACGTCATAAATGCTGACAGAATAATGATGTATGATATAAAAAGGTAAAGAGTTAGAGTTCTGGTTGATCTGTTTAATGAATCATTTAACAACACATTCAAACCAGAGTTAATTACAGATCCACATAACTAACGTAAGTGTTCATAGTGAGTGTGACGATCACTTTAAAGAATATTGCTATGTGGGTTTTAGTGACCAAGAGTTCACTAAAGTCACCACGTTACAAACACAACTTATCATTCTCAGTTAAAGGAACAGTACGTAGTAAAGTACCGTTAGTGATATTAAAGCGGTTTTATTTAATGTAATTGGTAAATGTTAAATGGACTGTATTTATAAAGCGCTTCATCCAGTCTTTCACCCCCTCAAAGCGCTTTACATACAACAAGTCACCCATTCACACCCAATTCATACAGAGCAATGTGCCCCTTGCTCACTGAAGGGGTTAGAGCCATTTTCCTTTCATCATTATGGTTTGAATGTTTGTCTTATTACTAAAAGGCTTTAGAGGAAACTCTTAACTATCTATTTTTGTGAGTCACACTACGCTTTGAAAGATGTTAGTTTAAGCCTCACTTATTTGCTGTCAAATGTGCGCTGTCGGATATGGAGGACGGAACATGACATAAGTATAAATAAATAAATAAATGTATGAAGAAATACAGGAATAAATAAATAAATACGGAAATAAATAAATGCAGGAATAAATAAATGAGGAAATAAATACACAAATAAATAAATAAAGAATAAATAAATATGGAAATAAATACTTGAATGTATAAATAAAAGTCGAAAATAAAACAGAACACATGTTATTATATTTCTACATTTACGGTCACTTACATTTATTTATTTATGTATTTCTGTGTCCGTATGCTAATGAGGTGACCGCAGTAACGAACGTGTGCTTCAATAACGTTTGGGGGCAAGTCCTCTATACATCGTTCCACACGAAACTGGACATAGTCTTTTGGTTCTCCGTTCTCTAAATGGTCCGCTAATAATCTCCAATGATCTCCAATGGCTCTTAAACCAATAACCATAAATAAACCTGAGTAAATTTGAATTGTCAACAATTACAACTGTGGATAAACCATGGATGTATAAAGATAAGGGCTAAACAGTAATGCTCCTCCTGCATTCGAATCAGCGCTGTCAGCCAGGCGTTCGAAGTAGAGCCCAATCTGCCAGAAATGATCACACTCCTGTAACCAATCATGCTTCAGATTGAGGTTAGGACCGCCCACCTCATTAGTATAGACACAGAAATACAAGTGTCCGTAAATTTAGAAATATATTAAAGATATATAATAACGTGCGTTCTGTTTTATTTTCGACTTTTATTTATTTATTTATAGATTCATGTATTTATTTCCATATTTATTTATGCATTTATTTATTCTTTTATTTATTTATTTGTGTATTTATTTCCAAATTTATTTATTTCTGTATTTATTTCCTCATTTATTTATTTCCGTATTTATTTATTTATTCCTGTATTTCTTCATACATTTATTTACACATTTTTATTTTTTTATACTTATGTCATGTTCTGTCCTCCATAGTCAGACAGTTGGCGCCAGCGGGAAACAAACCGGAAACGCTATTAGTTGATAATGCAAGATATGTTATTGTTATTAAGAGCAAGACAGAGAGGGACAGAGAGGGACAGAGAGAGACAGAGAGGGACAGAGAGAGACAGAGACAGACAGAGAGAGAGACAGAGAGAGACAAAGAGAGAGACAGAGAGAAACAGAGAGGGACAGAGAGAGACAGAGAGAGACAAAGAGAGACAGAGAGGGACAGAGAGAGACAGAGAGAGACAGAGAGAGACAAAGACAGAGAGGGACAGAGAGAGACAGAGAGAGACAGAGAGGGACAGAGAGAGACAAAGAGAGAGACAGAGAGGAGACAGAGCGGGACAGAGAGGAGACAGAGAGGGACAGAGAGAGACAGAGAGAGACAGAGAGAGACAGAGAGAGACAAAGACAGAGAGGGACAGAGAGAGACAGAGAGAGACAAAGACAGAGAGGGACAGAGACAGAGAGGGACAGAGAGAGAGACAGAGAGAGACAGAGAGAGACAGAGAGAGAGAGACAAAGACAGAGAGGGACAGAGAGAGAGACAGAGAGGGACAGAGAGAGACAGAGAGGGACAGAGAGAGACAGAGAGGGACAGAGAGAGACAGAGAGGGACAGACGTGCATGTCTATATATGGCATGACATTGGTTCACAGCTGAGGGTGTGATTAAACAGGAAGCGGTATAGTCTTTAGACCGTGTTCTGTTTGTTCTTTTTGTTCTGTTTGTTCTTTTTGTTCTTTTTGTTCTTTTTGTTCTTTTTGTTCTTTTTGTTCTTTTTTGATACGGAGAACTTTTAGTTACTTTGAAGCGAGGAAGTTTGTCTTCATGTTTGTATGTCGCCTTGATCAATGAATAAACCTGATGTGATTCAAAGCTACAACGATCTCTGCAAAGTTTGTTTGGAAGCAAAGAGAGGCGCGTCATCACCAACAACCCCGATAGAGGAAAGTGGATATTAAATGTAGAAACGGATTCAAACTCCACGACAGAAGGTATCATTCACACACCGTTCCCCATTGGGAGCGACTTGGGGTTAGGCATCTTTCCCAAGGATACATCGATTTCAATTGAAAGACGCCCTCACTACCTTTCATTAACAGTCGTAAACAGTGTGTGTTCTCTGCATCCTCACCTGTAAAGTGGAGCAGCAGCATCTGTGGTGGCTCTACTCTTCAGCCACCTCCCTTGTGAGTGTGTGTTCCCTTTCCCTGTCTGTGTGGGCGTGGTGGCTGTCACTCCTGGCTCCCGGCTCAATCTCCACCTGCTGCATCAGCTTTACACACCTGATTCCCATTCAGCCATTTACTAATGGTATATCAGCGGAGGCTCCACAACATGTCAGCGCCAGATCGTTGTTTAAACCCCAGTGGTAACTCTCAGCCTTCTTAGCCGATTTAAGCTATTTCTCTGTACATGGAATACGTTTCTCACCTGTTTCTCTTATGCTCCAGGATCACTCTCCAGCCGCCTAGTTACCATCACCTGCAGCCACCAGTCATCATTCCAACCGGATTACTCTCCACGCTCCTCCACCTCACAATAAACCTTTTTCCAACACTCTGCCGTGTCCTGCGTTTGGGTCCTATCGGATATCGTAACAGAACGATCTGGCCAGTATGGACTCAGCGGACACAGGCCACCAGTCCAAGACTACGGACGAACTCAGCCAAGCCCTGGCCAATCAAGGTGCTCTTGTGGGGCATCACGACGTGGTTCTCCGTGAGGTTGTGGAGACTCTCCGGAACCTCTCCGCTAACGTGCAAAGGATCGGCACACAAGTGGAACTGCTCACCTCACAGTTTTCTCCCCCACAGCCCGCTGCACAGCCGACAGCTCCTCCCCCCCGCTCCTGCCGCACCTCTCCATCAGCTACGAGAGGCTGTTATTCCTACACCGGAGCGATACGCTGGAGATTTGGGTATTTGTAGAGCCTTTTTGTTCCAGTGTTCGTTAGTTTTTGAGCAGCAGCCTAGTACTTATCATATAGACGGGGCTAGGGTAGCATATGTCATGAGTCTGTTGAGGGGGAGTGCTCTAGATTGGGCTACAGCCGTTAGGGAGAGCCAGCCACACATTTGCTTATCATTTGATACTTTCATTTCCGAAATGAAAAAAGTTTTTGATCACCCGGTACGGGGGAGGGACGCTTCTAGGCGCCTTCTTTCTCTCCGGCAGGGCTCCCGTAGTGTAGCCGAATTTTCAGTTGAGTTTAGAACAGTTGCTGCTGACTCAGACTGGAATAACGAGTCATTGCAAGATGTTTTTCTTCAAGGGCTGAACGAAGCAATTAAAGACGAGCTAGCTGCTAGGGATGATCCAGTTAGCTTGGATAATTTAATTGCCACAGCTATCAAGATTGATAATCGCCTCAGAGAGAGACGCAGGGATAGGAATAGCCGTCACCCCAATCCCAGCTACTCCTCACTTGATCCCCGAATTGGCACTGCCACTGCCCCAATCTCCAGATCCTTTCCGACTCCTTTCTCGGTTTCACCCCCCGAAGATGAGCCCATGCAAGTGGGAAGGGCCCACCTCTCACCATCTGAGCGGGCTAGAAGGATCCAGGCTGGGGAATGTGTTTATTGCAGCCAAACCAGTCATCTAGTTTCCTCCTGTCCTAATCTGCCAAAAGGTCAGGCTCGTCAGTAGCTGTGGGGATTCTGGCGAGCCCTTCCTCCTCTCTCAACCCCCGACCCAGAACGCAGCTAGAAGCCGTTCTTTGCTGCAACCAACAGTCACTACCCCTGCTCGCCTTAGTGGACTCGGGGGCGGACGAGAATTTTTTGGACATTGACATTGCAGCTCAGGCAGGAATTCCCTGCGAAGTGTTAGATTCACCTCTTAATGCCAATGCTCTAAATGGACAATTCCTGGCCCAAGTCACTCACCGCACCAAGCCAGTAAACCTCATTCTGTCTGGAAACCATCGTGAGTTTATTCAGTTTCACCTTATTTCCTCACCTCATGCTCCCATAGTGTTGGGTCATCCCTGGTTAAGAACACACAACCCCCAGATTGATTGGATAACTGGCAAAATCATTAGTTGGAGTTGTTTTTGTTTATCCTCATGCCTGCAGTCTGCCCTGCCGCCAGCAGAGGCCGCCGCTCCACCACCCAAGATCGAGCCGCCTGACCTGTTATCTGTCCCCATGGAATATCATAGCCTAGGAGAGGTGTTCAGTAAACAGCGAGTTCTTTCTCTTCCTCCTCATCGACCCTACGACTGTCCCATTGACCTCCTTCCCGGGGCCCCTCTGCCTTCCTCACGTCTGTTCAACCTGTCTCGCCCTGAGAGAAAATCCATGGAGAGTTACATCCATGACTCCCTGGCTGCTGGTGTCATCCGCCCATCCTCCTCCCCGGTCGGTGCTGGGTTCTTCTTCGTGTCCAAGAAGGACCGCTCACTGCGGCCCTGCATTGATTACAGGGGTCTCAATGCCATCACTATAAAAAACAAATATCCATTACCCCTCATTAACTCCGCCTTTGAACCCCTCCAGGAAGCCACCATCTTTTCCAAACTGGACCTCCGCAATGCCTACCACCTCGTCAGAATCCGTGAAGGGGACGAGTGGAAGACTGCCTTTAATACACCACTCGGTCACTTTGAGTATCTGGTGATGCCTTTTGGACTGACGAATGCCCCAGCAGTTTTTCAGTCAATGGTGAACGATGTGCTCCGTGACCTCCTCAACCGGTCAGTCTTTGTCTACTTGGATGACATTCTCATTTTCTCCCGTAACAAGGAGGAGCACATTATCCATGTCAGGCAGGTGCTGCAGAGACTCCTTGAAAACAGACTCTTTGTGAAGGCGGAGAAATGTGAATTCCATGTCAACACAGTCTCATTCCTGGGCTACATCGTTGAGGAAGGAAAGATTAGGACCGACCCTGAGAAGATCCAAGCGGTGGCGGGGTGGCCCAAACCAACCTCAGTTAAACTGCTTCAACAGTTTCTTGGTTTCGCCAATTTTTATCGGCGCTTCATCAGAGACTACAGCAGAGTGGCGGGCCCTTTAACCAGACTCACTTCCCCTACAACTGGTTTTTTCTGGACCCCAGAGTGCGATGCAGCCTTCTCGGAGCTAAAGAGACTTTTCACCACTGCCCCTGTGCTCATCCACCCTGATTCCTCTCGCCAGTTTGTGGTGGAGGTCGATGCCTCCAACACCGGGGTAGGGGCAGTTCTTTCCCAGCGCTCGGAACGAGACCAAAAATTACATCCTTGTGCATTTTTCTCTCGCCGCCTCACTCCAGCTGAGAAGAACTATGACGTGGGTAACAGAGAGCTGCTGGCTGTCAAACTTGCCCTAGAGGAGTGGAGGCACTGGCTGGAGGGAGCCGAGCTCCCTTTTATTGTATGGACAGACCACAAAAACTTGGCGTACATCCAATCTGCCAAGCGCCTTAACTCTCGTCAGGCTCGATGGGCCCTGTATTTCGGCCGCTTCTCATTCACCCTTACCTACCGTCCAGGGTCACGGAACCTCAAGCCGGAGGCTCTCTCTCGCCAGTTCGCTTCCGAAGGACCAGCTGCCAATCCAGACACTATCCTGCCTGCCTCCTGCGTGGTGGCGGCTGTTACCTGGGAGATTGAGTCATTGGTTAAGGAGGCTCAGCGGGCGCAACCTAACCCAGGTAACTGCCCAGCTAATAGTCTTTTTGTGCCTACCCCTGTTCGCTCCAAGGTCCTGCAGTGGGCACACACCTCCCGTCTCTCCTGTCATCCTGGTGTCCATCGCACACTGTTTATTCTAAAACAACGGTTCTGGTGGCCTTCCATGGCTCAAGACACCAGGGCCTTTGTTGCTGCCTGTACAGTATGTGCCCGCGCCAAGTCCTCCCACCAATCTCCCTCTGGCCTGCTTCGCCCGCTGCCGGTACCTAGGCGTCCTTGGTCGCATGTGGCCTTGGATTTTGTCACTGGACTTCCACTGTCACAAGGAAATACCATCATCCTAACTATTGTGGACAGATTTTCCAAGATGGTACACTTTGTTGCTCTTCCCAAGCTTCCCACAGCCCGAGAGACTGCAGATCTTCTGGTCAATCATGTTGTTCGACTCCATGGGATTCCCACCAACATCGTCTCTGACCGGGGTCCCCAGTTCATTTCCCACGTTTGGAAAGCCTTCTGTCAGGCTCTGGGAGCATCAGTGAGCCTGTCATCTGGATATCATCCTCAGACGAATGGGCAAACGGAACGGGCCAACCAGGATCTGGGGGCGGCTCTTCGCTGTGTGGCTTTCAGGAACCCTTCGTCATGGTGCCCACATCTGCCATGGATCGAATATGCCCACAACTCCCTGTCAAATGCAGCCACAGGTATTTCACCCTTTCATTGTGCCATGGGTTTCCAACCACCCCTGTTTCCATCCCAGGAAGAGGAGGTTGCTGTTCCTTCCGTTCAGACCCACCTTCGTCGCTGTCATAAGGTGTGGAGGGACACCCGAGCCGCCCTGCTCCGCTCCGCTGCCCGCAACTGCCTCATCGCAGACCGCCACAGGACCCCGGCTCCCAACTACTTACCAGGTCAGAGTGTTTGGCTTTCCTCCAAAGATCTCCCACTCAAGACAGAGTCGAAGAAACTCACGCCACGTTATGTCGGCCCCTTCATCATCGACTCAGTTATCAACCCATCTGCAGTAAAACTCAAGCTTCCCCCACACATGAAGGTTCATCCGACATTTCATGTTTCTCTGTTGAAACCTGTTGCCAGCAGCCCCTTGTCTCCTCCAGTGAGTGTTCCCCCACCCCCCCCGCATCATCAATGATCACCCAACCTACACCGTCAGGCGATTGTTGGACGTTCGTCGCCGTGGAAGGGGATTCCAATATTTTGTGGATTGGGAGGGCTATGGTCCAGAGGAGAGGTCTTGGGTTCCCCGGCGAAACATCGTGGGCGCGTCCCTGGTTCGGGACTTCCACCGTGATAACCCTGGTAGACCTGGTAGACCTGGTAGACCGCCTGGAGGCGTCCCTTAAGGGGGGGGGTACTGTGGTGGCTCTACTCTTCAGCCACCTCCCTTGTGAGTGTGTGTTCCCTTTCCCTGTCTGTGTGGGCGTGGTGGCTGTCACTCCTGGCTCCCGGCTCAATCTCCACCTGCTGCAATCAGCTTTACACACCTGATTCCCATTCAGCCATTTACTAATGGTATATCAGCGGAGGCTCCACAACATGTCAGCGCCAGATCGTTGTTTAAACCCCAGTGGTAACTCTCAGCCTTCTTAGCCGATTTAAGCTATTTCTCTGTACATGGAATACGTTTCTCACCTGTTTCTCTTATGCTCCAGGATCACTCTCCAGCCGCCTAGTTACCATCACCTGCAGCCACCAGTCATCATTCCAACCGGATTACTCTCCACGCTCCTCCACCTCACAATAAACCTTTTTCCAACACTCTGCCGTGTCCTGCGTTTGGGTCCTATCGGATATCGTAACAGCATCAGGAATGAAGACATCATGATCCTTCTGAATTCAGACATCGTGCTTCTCTCTCGGTCTCTGGCTCTCGACTGTCAGAGTCTCTAACCGGCTGCTTCTTTAACAAGAACTCAGTACCGATGATAACAGCAGATAAGCGACAGAAGAGGGGAAGTTGAACGTGGGAAGATGTTTTCTGGTTCCTCATTTCACCTCCAGTGTTTTTCTTCTGAGAACTGAAGGAGAAGTGTTTCGATGAGAATGAGGTTAACGCCAGCAGCTCTGAAGGTATGACACCATATAGCAAATTCGGCACGCAACTTTATTTGATGTGTCCCCGCAAGAGCTTGCAAAGAATATAATATGTTTATTATACGGTTGAATGCCACTTTACAGAAGCACGTTGTCCATAAACTACATGTCCCACAATGCATCTCATTTTGTGACGTGCATTTATTAATAAAGTATCTCAACAATACAACCTGACATCAGTTCAGAGCATCCAAACTACTGTTTAATTTCACATTATCTGATTCCCTGTAGACGGGAAACTCCGAGAGCATTCTTGATTTCATTACATTTATAATGAATAGTTGGTTGAAAAGGTTCTGATATTGTAAATAGTAAGATTTTCCAGTTTCTTATATTTGTATGAATAGTTGGTTGAAAAGAACATATTTATAATAAATTGTTGGTTGAAAAAGAGTTCTAATGCTGAATTTGTATATGTACAGTACACATCACACAACCATGGTATGTCATATGAAGTCATTCAGTCCTGATGTATCTCAGTCCCTGCTGTGGGGAAAGTAGATTGATAAACAACTACTCAAAATTCGAATTTACACATTTTCATTTTAGACATGAATTACAAATGTAAATACAGTGTTAGTCATATATTACACTACTTTTGTGAACCTAAGACTTTGGTAAACCAAATCTAAAACACCAGAAAAATGGATGACATGAGTAAGTCTGTGTTTTCACAAGAGTTTTGAAGATTTAAAGAAAATCAGATGTCAAATGTTCAGCTTTAGAGCTAATTATCTCATCACACAGTGCTCTACGGTGAGTGACTTTATACCAAGAACAGAGACTGTCCTGAACATTTTGATATGTAACACACGGGGTGCCATGTATAACAAGTACATTTAAAAGGTGATTTAAGGAGACATCTAAAAAAGACTCAAGAGGGTTATTACACCGTTTTTGTATTACTACAGTATATTGAACATCAATATGTTAGGTGCATTCTTTATCACCATCATGTTATAGTGATACAGTTAGTTTGTGTTCGTTTATTTGTTCAATATAGCCTATATTGAAAACATACATTTGTATGCATTGATGTTGAAGTACTTCGGCTACGCCACTTTCGGGTCCCGGGGGGCTACAGCTGGCAGCGAAGCAGCCCCAGAGATAACTCTTTCTTCATATTTGTTGTGTATTCATTCAAGCGGGTCAAAGTTACAAAGCACTTCACATCTTACATCGGCCTAGTTTTACCTTACCAGTGCAGTGGTAAGGTTATCTGTAGAAAAGCACCGTATTTAGGTCAGCCTTCACAGTAAGGCTACATTAAATGTTGTAATATTCATTGTGTATACTGTATATGTATATACTTCCTGTGTATTGCTTTTATTTGTTTACCACCTTTTCCCACACATTTCCCAATTTCCTAATTTGGGATGAATGAAGTATCTATCTATCTAGATAGACAGATAGATAGATAGATAGATAGGTGGGGCAGGCAGGCAGGCAGGCAGGCAGGCAGGCAGGCAGGCAGGCAGGCAGGCAGGCAGGCAGGCAGGCAGGCAGGCAGGCAGGCAGGCAGGCAGGCAGATAGGTAGGTATACGTAGGCAGGCAGGCAGTAAGTAGGCAAATTGGGACATTTGTGGAAAACAGGTATTAACATAATACAATTAAATACAAATAAAAGCAATACACAGGAAAATGCATAAACAGTAGAAAGGATCACGTTGAATATTACAATATTTAATGTAGCCTTACTGTGAAGGCTGACCTAAATACGGTGCTTTTCTACAGATAACCTTACCACTGCACTGGTAAGGTAAAACTAGGCTGATTAATAAGATGTGAAGTGCTTTGTAACTTTGACCCGCTTGAATTAATACACAAAAAATATGAAGAAAGAGTTATCTCTGGGGCTGCTTCGCTGCCAGCTGTAGCCCCCCGGGACCCGAAAGTGGCGTAGCCGAAGTATTTCAACATCAATGCATACGAATGTGCTCGATATATGCTGTATTGAACAAATAAACTAACACAAACTAACTGTATCACTATAACATGATGGTGATGGTGATAAAGAATGCACCTAACGTACCGCTGTTCATTAAAGTAATACAAAAACGGCACATTAAACAAACCATCATGCTCATACTTTGAAACCTTGAAATGCGGAAATGTCGTCATCAGCAGGCCATCACGTGGTTTCCGAAAATAACCGAGTGACACGAGCAGATTTCGGTCGAGACTGGCGGAAGGTTTGTCTCAAAACTCTGTGTGTGTAAAAAGATGATCCACAAGCAGAGATTTGAGATCCACAAGCGCATTTTTGGTCGACAAATACAAAATGGATTCACAAATGCCTGATCGAAAGTTGTCAATGTTAAAGAGATATTCACAAATTCCTTTTGTTTATTTGTAAATTAATTATAGTAGCCTATTCACAGATCTTTTTTTTATTTGTGAAAATATTTTTGCGTATTTGCAGATCCGTTTTACATTTGCAAATTTATTTGTGAGTTTGCAAATCTTTTAAATGCATTTGTGGATGGTGTTTTACATTTACAAATCACATATTTACACACACATGTTCACTCAAATATTTATGAAACAAATCTAAGCCTATAGATTTGTTTTACAGTAAAGTAAACTCTCATTACACAAGCTCCCTCTGCTGCAGCACTTTCAGAAGCACACAGTTCACTAACTCAACCTCTACTCACATTATTCACACATGAGAGTGTTTGTGTTTGTGTCTGCAGAGATCTGCTTCTCAGTGTGAGAGGACAGTAGTGACCTCCACATGTTGGGAGGATCTCTGCTGCTTCCTACTGGTGAGAAAATAAAAGTGTTTGAAACTAAAGACAGCTGAACAAGAACTGCTTTAAAAGAGTTTATTTTCACCTGAGAACGTTTTTTATTTCCAACACAAAACTCCAAACAAAGCAAAACATATTTAACTGAAAAGGTGTTACATTGAAATACATCTGCAGTCTGGTAAGGCTATTAGGTAACTTAATTTGGTATAATACAACACAATCAAATATACTAAAGAAAAAGCAATATTCCATTAAATGATATAACTAAACAACGGTTAATAAAACCAAGCAAGAATTAATTAAAAAAAAACATTTAGCCCATGCTCTAACTATTAAGAATACAGTAAATCTCCAACATGTCTGAACCTTTTTCACAATCCACCTCTAGAGGGACTCACATGTTTTCATAAAGCTGCTGCTGTACTCTCACTTTGATGCATTTAAGCCAAAAAGCAAAAACAAGGTTAATATAAATCTGATTAAACTCTGCTAGCTGTGCCCTTAAACTCTAAATCTTTGATCCAAGCGATCATGCTATTGATTTAAACATTACATCGGTTTCTTTCTTGGTTTGTTGACGGTGGCGTAGAGGAGGCTGGGATCAGCGGAGGCAGCAGAGGAAGAGGAGGGAGCTCCCACAGTGCTGTAGGTCACTGCATCTTCATCATCATCATCATGAAGGTGAGCCTGCAGGGGAAGAAAAGTGATTATGCATAAAGGAGTTCTGAAAGTCTTGATTGTATAGAAGTCTGTGAGAAAATGACCCTACGTCTCACTTGATTTATATCCTCAATAAACATTTTCCTGCAGATTTTATGTTCTCAATCTCAGTTTCCAAGTCTTCTTTAATACAGCATGATGTTCGGTGAGTTATGCTCACATTTAGAGTAGAATAGACGATAAAGTCACATCACCAGTGAAATCAATGAGACAGCTCACCCTGGCTTTCCTGCTGCTCTTCCTGGTAAAATTATACAAAATAAATGAGACTTGGGTTAAAATCCAGGGCCCGTTCTCATTTCATCAAATATCCCTCCTCGACTCCTCGACTCCTCGGTCCTCCGGTAGTGACCCGGAAATGAATTTTAGCGCGCCATGTTGAAGGACATCTCATTTTCTCGAAATGCACATCGAGGACCGAGCATCGAGCGTCGAGGAGGCGCTCTCTGGAGGAGCTATAACCGAGGATACACTGATGGGTCCTCCACGGTCCTCCACGGCTCCTTCGTGGATGCATTTCCGGCAACAGTGATGTTTCAAAGAGTCGAGACGCACGGCCGGACTGATCTCAGCCAATGACAGCTCTGCATGCATCCCCTGGATATTATTTTATAGAGTGGCGAAGTCCCTCCCCTTCCGGTGGACCTCCATGGGACCTTATTTCGGAAAAATTATGTATTGAAGTCAATGGAGAGAGAAAGATTATCTTTCGATCCCGTTTGAATTGTGCCACGAATTACACATATGATGTTTGTCAATTTAAAAGATAATTTTGCAAGTCAAAAAAAAAAAAATGTGTCGTAAAACTGTGAAGTAACACATTTGTTTGTGTGAAACGCTCAATGAACTACATCTCTGGTCTCACAGAACAACACACGTCACCAAGATGGCCGTCACTACTGTCTTGTCAACAAAACGATTGACTACCCTCACAATCACCACAATGAAACACGTCCTGAAGAATGTCAGGCAAAGCTGCCTGCCTGCCTTCCTTTGATTCTCTCTGAACTGCCTGGTCGTTTTAATGTTTAATGTCAACCATTTGTGCAGATAGCATGAAGTAGAGAAGATCGCTAGCGTTAGCGTTAGCATTTCTCCCCCGGGCTTAAATTGTGTATTATAGAATGATCACACCGGCGTGACAGTACTCTTCAAAGGGTTCACGAAATATGACTACTACTCTTACGGGCCGTCTCCACGGCAGCGTTAAAAAATCTTGAAACGCTTCTGCCCATTCACTTTGAATGGGGTGACGTCACTTTTTTTCGCTTTCGCCGAAATGCATTGTGGGCAGGCGAGCGGAGATTCTCAGGATTTTCA